GATCCAGAGAGTTTCTGTCTTTTAACTGGTGAGTTAAATCTGTATATTATGATTACCAATATATTTTTATTTATTTTTCTCATCTTCCTGTGTTTTTCTTTTATCATAATTTCTCTTTGCTCTTCCTCCTTCGTTTCTGTCTTCTATTTAAATGATTAAGATTACTTTATTTCATTTCTCCCTTATGGTTCAGAAGTTATATATATTCTATTTCTGTTCTTTTAGTGGTTATTACCCTGACATTTTTAACTTATATAATGACTTAATAGAGTCTAAAATTAACCATCGTGTCCGTTGATTGTCATGACCATTTCAAGAACATTGTTTTAACTTCAATTATCCATCTCATTTTATATATTTTGTTACTTATTTTAGTCCCACGTTATATTTTTTCAAATTAATCATTATTGTGTAATTATTATTTTCATTTTATAAATTCAATACTTGTTTATATTTTTCACACGTTTACCTGTTTTCTGCGCTCACTGTTGCTTCTTACGTCTTACTCTTTGCTGTGTTCAGTTTCTTTCTTAGGGCGTCTTTTAGATTTTTTTTAGCAAACATCAGTGAATAGTAAACTCTATCTTTGTCTTAATATCTCTTCATTTTGCCCTGCATATCTAGTGATTATTTAGCTGGCTATAGCTGTATCTAGGAATGGACTGGGTTTTTAAGAAAAATTTTTATTGTGAAATAAAACAAAAATGAAAGTATGGTTTAGTGAATTATTTTAAGTCAAACACTCCTATAACCACTACTCAAGTTAAGAAATAGAAATGCATCACCTATAACTATATTTTTATTTAATTTGCTTGGACTCTTGAAACATTCAGGATAATTTTCTCAAATATATCTTCTATTTTACAAATTCTCTTTTTAGTTATGTCTACTACGTTTACTCTGCCTACTTTTTTATTACTATTTCTTTTTTTATTTATATAGTTCTATTTGATTCTTTTTCCTATTGCTCTGATCTTTCCTGTGCTGCTATATTGTTTTATGGATATTTTCCTTCATTTATATCTTCCATCTCCTACAACTTACTGGTCTTCTATAAATTGTTATCCCACTGTTTAAAGCAATCCTTCTTTTTGTTGTATTTATAGAGTCTAGTTTGCTTGGTTAGTAATTTTGTGCCTCCAGGGCTTTGTCAGTGTGAATCCTGGGCCAGCTAAGTTGTGGGAATGTCTCTGGTTCTGTTGTGTATTCCAGAATACCACCACATTGCACCAGATTTTCTCACTTTCCCCATCCTGTGGGGGGAGAGAAATTCATGCCCCAAATCTATAGGAGATATAAGCCTAGCAATTTGATTTCACAAGAGGAACATTTATTTGTTTGTTTTTTAAGCTAGGGCCCAAATTTAAACAAACTTGTGTTAGTGGTGAATTTTATTTTTCTAGACTTCACACTTCCTAAGGGTTCAACTTTCTTAGGTTCCAAGGTTTACACAATAGTGATAATTCCAGTCCACCCCATTTCAGCTGAGGGCCTCATCTTTTGTCCTCACAAGAGTATCAGAAGTGAAGCTTCTGGATTGCTGAGACCTGTAACAAATTACCTTCCCTCCCTTCATGCAGAGCAGCATAGGTCATATACCTGCCTCACTGGCTTTCAGCACCCTCTTCATGGCTGGCACCTGGGGGTTACCCTTTCTTTCTTGTAAGCACAGTCTTGGGTGAGTAGCAATGCAATATTCATTTAAAAGTCAAACATTTCTAGATCGTTGTTGTGAGAGTCTTCAGAATTAGAGTGGGGGGAAAATATAGGATGTGCAAAAACTTGTCATTGGTGATTTACTTTTAACTCACAGATTTGTCAATAATGAGCAGATAAGAGCAAGATAAAACATTGGCAAATAAATACTAAGACTTATTTAATCTAGTGTTGAGAAATACTTGAGGGCCTGGCAGTTGAATTCCTATTTGGATTCTTCATCAGAAGGAAACCCATTTTTTATCCAGAGTCATCTGATTCTCTAAGGAGCAGTGAAGCCTCTTTGATCAGCTGATCACTTAAGTATAACAGTATTCCATATTACCTGCCAGGATGGTGCGCACACACTGCTTGTACTATTTTCACATTCAGGTAAATTCTCATTCACAATATTTTAACTTTGTGGTAGCTTTAGTAAGTAATGTTGCTTATAAAGTAGTGTGGACTTAAATTCTAAATTGGTGGATTGCCTGTCTCCCTGAGAAAAATATTACTGTAAAGATATTTCGAACAAACAGTAAGCAGTAACCACAGTAGAATTTAGGTGTGTTACCCTGGCCTTTTTATATCATAGTTTACAGAATATGATTCTGCAGTCTTGCCTGCCTCCCACCAGAAACCTTCTCCCATCACACCTCTTCAATTTGTTGTGTTGATAGAATTACTGGAATTATTCTAAAAGTTAGAACCTAGAGGGAGTAACGCTTACATGGAGGCAGAGGCAGAGGAAGCCGATGCAGAATTGCAAGGGGCTAAAATGGCAATGTTGTTAAAAAACGAGAGACTTCAGAAATGCTTTGTCTTTCTTTACTATTTTTCCTCAGTGACTGGAACTTCCCAACACTTAAGCTTTAGTTTTTCTGTCTCCTAGAATTTCTATCAAATAAATAACTATGCATTAATTATTTACTAATGTAGACACTACCTACTCCCCCTACAAGAACCAAACAAACCAAAAAAACAGAAAAGCTAAAGGGAATTAAAAATGAGCTCGAAGGTGAAGGAAATACCTTCCAGCACTTAATGTGGTTCTCAGCTCCCTCTACATCTAGACAATAACGAACTGAGCTGCATAGTTCTTATTGTCAGAAAAGTACAACCCGGAAAACCTTTCTGGCAGTAATCAATAAAATCTGTATGTTTCATACCATTATTACACTAATCTTATGAATATCTAGTGTTTTGAAGAAGAGAATACAGATTTTCATGACTTTCAATGTATAGAATTCAATGATTGTCTCATACTTAGAAGAAAATACACATAATTTCAAAATGGTTTGTGACATGGAGTTGCCCATAAGTGAAAATGTGTATTTGCTAAAAAGACTAGTTTTCTAAATAAAAATCTAGAAAGTCAGTAAATTGAAACCCATTATCTTTTTTAAGAGAGAGGAAGGGGGACAGAGAGAGAAATATCGATTTGTTGTTCCACTTATTTATGCATTCATTTGTTGATTCTCATATGTGCCCTGACCAGGGATTAAACCCACAACCTTTGGTGTATGGGGGCAGCGCTCTAACCAACTGAGCTACCTGGCCGGGGCGAAACCGCCTTCTACCCGTAAACCACTGTTTGGAGAATTATTTTTATTTTTTTCAGTATACCTAAACTTGATTTAGCCTATAATGTTTTAAAGGTGATTGTTAAGATGAGATAAATACTATGACTTAGTAATTTTTATGTGTTTATGTCAGCTATATAGTGATGAATTGCCTAATATCCATAAAAAGGGTTATTGCATAATAAATAATTGCATATTAACTAAAAATACTCTTTAGTTTTATGAAATTTGTTTTTTTAAAAGTAATTTTGTAGCATTTGTTTTTTTAATAATTCAGTGAAGAGATTAATGCTTTCTAACACATTGTTTTGTCCAAGCATGTCTAACAAAATTAAAAATTATTTATTACTTTTTATACAAAAATTTATATGAAATAAATTTTATTTAGCTTTAGTTTTTCCAGTAGTTTGATACAAAATTAGCATTTGGTACAGCAATGATGAAGCAGAGAGATGACATTTGATATATGATTTATATTAGCTATTCAGTAACATTCTGCCAGCTAACAAAGAAACTTTTTGCATATCTGTACATAATTGAATTATTTCTTTTAGTTTCTAGGTAGATAACAATCTTTCAGTATATTTAGCACACAAAAAGAAATAAATTAATTATAGACCATATTTTATTTATATATATGTATATTACAAGTAAGTAATTTTAATACATTTATTATCATAGTGTTTAAATAAATTTGTTATATTCATTGTCTCTGGGCTTAACTTTCAGCCAACAGGGTAGGGGGCTTCTATAACATTGCTAGAATAGTGTTTTACATTAAAAATTGGTAAATAAGAAGAATGCTTATTTTTCTTAAACTTTGCTAGTGGAAGAAGAGTAAAGTGTAAATTGAAAAGCTTCCTCTAAAATAATTTTGTAAAAGTATTTTAATGGCACCAAAGTGCCTTTAAACGTTTCAGATACAGCCGCATGCAGGTATGGTATTGAAGCGGATGCGGATTCTTTGCCTCTGTCTAGTGTATCTGCAGGACACTTCACATCTTTGTTACATTAGGATGAGTCATATGACACAGCTGGTCATTTGAAAAATTGCTTTAGCTTTTTAAATTAATTTTAGGCTGATATATAAAATTAGCCCTTTTTAAAATTAGCCCTTTTTAAAATGCTATAAAGGAGAAACAGCTGTCCTTAAGAGAAAGTCTTTTTTAAGGAACAGTTTGCTCATCACTAACCACCCTCTTAGTGCCAAACCTGGGCCAGACGGTAAGATAGGAAAACATTTTTCCTCTTTTTATCTTTGGGTTCCCTGCCCCCCTTCTTAACATTTGGCCTCCTGCCCCTCTGCGTTTTCTAGTGTTCTCTTAATCTTGCCTCTCTGAAAGTAAGTAAGGGCCTCCGTAGTCAAGTGTTGGACAGGTCACGGTCCCCGGCTAGGACCGCCTGCGCTCCTGCGGAAGGAATGGCTCTAGGGGCCAGCGGCTGGGGTCCGCGCCCACAGAGGAGTGAGGGGCTGGCAGGGAACGGGAGGCGAGTGCGGGGACTGAGGCTGCTGCGTTAGGCCGGGAGGGCTGCTCCTCCCCAGCACTCCACTGTGCAAGCCAAGGCCTGTCCTGGTGAGAGGAGGGTCTCTCAAGTAGACTCTGCCACCACGCTGATTGCTGCTGTACATAGTAATTCATCTCAAAGTATGAACTTTCTCTCTTTGTCACTTGTACCACCAGCTTGAAATCAAATCCCTTTTTGTTTGTTTGTTTGTTTAAGGCTGAAAGAGCATATTCCTTTTGTGGCACTATTGAATACATGGCACCAGATATTGTCAGAGGGGGAGACTCGGGACATGACAAGGTATGTTCTATTTCTGACACCTCTTTATATATCTCTATAAAATGTATAATAACTTAGGTATAATCACTTATGTATAATAACTCAGATACAGTCTCTTTAACAGAGTCCTCTTTCCTGTTGTCTTTATTTTTTTCTCCTTTGCTTTGTATACATGAACACACTATGATATCTGGTATTTTGGATTAAAAAGTTAATAGAAAGATGAGAGAATTCTAGATTTCCCTTTTTTTAGGTTTTATTGGTGAGGATAATTTTTTGTTTTATAGAGTAACACTCTGTTAAAAGGAAACCTCAAAAGCAACTAATTCTTCAAATAATTTTTATGTTATGTCCAATTGAAGAATCTATATCTTGAGCAAAGTACCAGTTGTAACTCTATTTAAAACAAAAATCATTCATTTTCTGTTGCATAGGCCCTGCTCTTTTAGAACACAGCTGAGCCACAATACAATACGGAGGTGTCACTGAGCACATCAATTGTCCCGTGTTCCTGTCTGAGTCTTGCTGGATGATTTTGGACAGTACATATTGCATTATTGATTTTTGTTGGAAAAATATAAGAAACATATAGTTGGCTGTTTCACCTTAGGTTGATACTTGCTAAAAGATCACTGAAAGTGGAACATTTCCTATTTTCTTATTCCCCATTTCTGCTTTAACTTTGGAGACTTTCTTGATGATCTCTTCAACAGACATAATCATTGTAAGGATCCTTGGAGAAAGAAGATAATCCTTTTTAAGCATCCAAGATAGTTGTTTGTTTTCCTAAGCCCTAGAAGGGCTCCCTGCGCACTTTCCTTTGCCTGAGGCAAATGAAGGCTGGGAAGAGGCTTTCGAAGTGCTGATGTTATAAAATCTAGGTCACGTGTTTTTTCTTCCTGTATTAAAGGGTACAGACCTGTTCAGTTCTTTCTGAGCACTCTGCCTTATTATTAGCTTTCTCCAAATAAGGGATTCTGACCACTTTTTGCTTCTGACCTTTTCCTTTCCCTCTTCCCTGTTCAAAACCCCACATACACAGTCCAGACATCTGAAATGTGGAGAATATTTGCTAATGACTTATCCTATGTTTAAAGCCTGTTCTCCAAGTTTTCATGACTAGGAATCTGATTGTAGAGCTGTATCAATTTAAGAGCATGGTTCCAAATCCAACAGCAGAGCATTCTGAGGGTCCTGACTCAGATGGCAGTAAAACTGCCTGTATAAATAAAAGAATTGAATTGCTATTTTAGTTCGCTTCAGGGTATTTTTTGAAACTATTGGGAAATTTGGTAGGCATTTATAACTATTAAAATTTGAAAATTACCTTTAAGAACCAATTTTTAGGAAAGAAAACTTTATATTACTCCTAGAATTTCTGCATACCCGAGGTCCAGAATACAGCTAAGTCTTTAGGAGTTGGTGGGACACCTTGGTGACTATGAGCTGATTAAATGAGATTTAACGTATGCAACTACTCGTCAGCGAGCCTGGCTTGCACTGGCTCTTTTGTGACTTCAGTCTCCCTGATCCTGTTTTCTATGTCATTGTTATGTATTTTCTTTGAAATAGCTCAAATAGCTCTAGGCTCATACATTTTGCATCATTTCTCTGAAACCTTAGCCCTTGAATTTGGACGCGGAGAGTTTAAAAATTTTGCATCGAGTTAATATCTCATTGGCATAAACCCTATATTCAACCATTATTAAAATATTGATTTGCATAATTACAAAAGAAGTAATTTTCAGTATATCAAGATTCTTGCAATTATATGTAATTTGCTGTGTTCTCAGTTCAGGTAACTACATTTATAAATTGGTTTCCAATTCAGATCACATTTTGTTTTACATTATTTTAAATTTCATCATGCTTCAGCAAATGAAGACTATTAGATTTATGAGATAGTTTCTATAAGAGGAACTGATTTAGGTGGTTATGAAAAAACTTCTTTAGATGGGATTTTTTTTCATTTTTGTTCTTTGACTTTAAGTAATTTTATATTTATTGGATAATTAATAAAAATGCTAATCGGTACTTTCCCCCCTCTATCATAAGTCCGAAGATTTTGCTTAAAATTTTAAAAATTTATTTTAAATTAACAAATTTTTTTTAATTAACCAAAGTAAAATCCTTACTAGTATAGAATATACTTAAAACACTTTAAGCCCATTGATTGACAGTCTAATGTTTAAATTCTGTTCTAAGGATACCTGGATATTTGTTCTCTAAATGTCTTTCTTGCATGTGCTAATTTAATACTCCTTGCACAGAAAGCGTTTTGTTAAAATATTTTCCAAATATACAGCTTTATTTTGTTCATTTTTCTTTCTTATGAATGACATTTTGTTAATATTCTATCAAATGAAATTCTTGTTCTGCAGGCAGTTGACTGGTGGAGTTTAGGTGTCCTGATGTATGAACTACTGACTGGAGCATCCCCTTTCACTGTCGATGGGGAGCAGAATTCCCAAGCCGAGATATCTAGGTAAGATTCAGCAAAATAAAGTGTGTGTGTTGTTGCCTCAAAGGAACTGGTCACATTTCTGTAATGCGGCTGATGCAAAAAAAATAATTTTTTAAAATAGGGATAGACAAATTTAGGTTTAAGTGGTTAATTTCCATTTATAATGATAGAGGATGTATATATAACCTTTATATCTCTTTATGTTTTACGTGCCCAGATAGCTCTTAAGATTCACAGGAATAGTTTCATAATTTTTGTGTGTTCCAAAGCACTTGCTAGCCTGGCCGGGCGTGGCTCAGCGGTTAAGCGTCGACCTAGGATCCAGGCAATCAGGGTTCGATTCCTGGTCAGGGCACATGCCCAGGTTGCGGGCTGCAGCCGATCAATGACTCTCTCACCATTGATGTTTCTACCTCTCTCTCTCCCTCTCCTTTCCTCTCTGAAATCAATAAAGATACATTTTAAAAACAAAAAAAAAAGCACTTGCTAATTGTCTTAACCTAGTAAGTACATAGGATATTGAGGTTTATTTGATGGACACTTCCTTCCCAATGTCTACGTATTATCATTTCTTTGTGACTTTAACATGAACAGTAGTAATATTTTTCAGCTCATGTATATAGGCTCAATAGAAACAAATACCGTAAAATCACCCTCTTATTGGTTATTATAGCATTACTCTATTCCTTTCCTTCATAGCAGTTATTGCAATTACATTGCTACACTTTGGTTTATAATTATTTGATCAATGTTTGTCGGTCCCACTAGATTGTAAGCTCTGAGAGAGCAAGGGCATGCCTGGCTTTCATCCCCAGCATTGTGTGCCCAGGTGCCAGCCAGCACAGCGCTTTACTGTGCAGAGTTCAATAAATATTCTTGGAATCAAGTGAATTAATGAACAAATAAACAACAGTGATAAAACATTATGCTAATTACTAGTTATGTTTTTGTTGTTTTTACTTGAATTTTATAACTTTGAGAACAGATGTGACATTTAAAAATTAAAAATCGAGAGTTCCACTTCTTACCAAGATGGAATCACAAGAGCTGGGTTTACTCTCTTGCCTGAAACAGTTTTTAAAGTGGGCAAAATATCTGAAAGAACAACATTGAAACATTGACCCTTTCGCAGTGAAGGACAGGAAACCCTGAGAGATGGGAAATCCCTGAGGTGAGCCCTGCCATCGCCCAGCTTACTGCCTTGAGAGAAAGTCCTGGCTGCAGCGCAAGGAGGGGACCAGGCGGAGTGAGGTGGAGCTGAGAGCCCGGGAAGAGTCCAAGGCAGCTAGAGCCTGGGGCAGTGTCGAGAGGAGAAAGCTGCAGAGGGAAGCTCAGAGATCTGCAGAAGGCACCCCTCAAGGGTTCGTTCAGTGAAGTAATGAGAAGCACGCGTGTGTGGGGACTACTCAGCAGTGAAGATGCTGTTTTTCTCCAAATTGATCTATAGATGCAACACAATCATAATCCCAGCAGGCTTTTTTTTTTCTTCTAGAAATTGACAACCCGGATCTGAAATGCATATAGAAATGCAGAGAACCAGAAATAGCTAAATGATCTTTGAAAAACTAGTCCAAAGTTGATTTCAAGACTTATAAGCTACAATAATTAAGACACTGTGGTATTTGTATCAAGACAGACAAATATTCAGTGAAACAGAACAGAGAGGTCAAAAATAGAATCACACAGATACAGGCAGTTGATTTTTTTTTTTTTTGCAAAGGTGGGAAGTCAGTTTGGTAGAGAAAAGATAGTCTTTTCAGTAAATTATGCTGGACTCATTGGTTATCATACGGGGGGGAGGGGAGCTTCTATACATTCCACCATATAGAAAAATAAACTAAAAATGATCATTGATCTAAATGTAAGACCTATAGAATTTATGTAAAACTATAGAATTTATGTAAGAAAACATAAAGGAAAATCTTTGCTACCTTGAGTTAGGTAAAGATTTCTTAGATATGACACAAAAAGTATAATCTATAAAAGAAAGCATTGACAAATTGGACTTCATCAGAATTTCTCTCTTCAAAAGGAACTGTTAAGAGACCACAGACTGGGATAAAATTATAAATCAGATTTGAAAAGGACTAGTATACAGATTATATAAAGAACTCTCAAAACTCAAGGGAAAAAATGGGCAAAAAATTTAAACAGTTAACCAATGAAGATCTATGAGTGGCAAATAAGCACATGAAAAGATGACCAACATTGTTAGTCTTTAGGGAAATGCAGTTAAACCACAATGAGATGCCACTGTATACTCACTGGAATGGCTAAGAATAAAGAATAAAGAGACTGAATATCTTAGGGTTCCAGAGAAACAGAAACAATCAGGCATATAAAAGGAGATGTATTATAAGGAATCAGCTCACACAATTATGAAAGCTGAGAAGTCCCACGATCTGCCATCTGCAAGCCGGAGACTCAGGAAAGCCAGTGGTTCCAGGGGCAGAAGACCAATGTCCCAGGTTAAGTAGGAAGGGACTGAATCCTCCCTTCTGCTTTTTTTTCCCTTTTCAGTCCCTAAAGGGGTTGGATGGTGCCCACCCACATTAAGGAGGGGATTCAAATGCTAATCTCATGAGGAAGCACCCTCACAGACACACCTAGAAATAATGTTTAATCTGGGCCACCTGTGGCCCAGTCATGTGACATAAAAATCAATCAACACAACTTCACCCCTTGTCAACTTGGCAGCCATATGTATCTCCTTATGCCAGACTTAATCTCCAAAGACAGTAACAAGGTCATAATCCCACCTGGTCTAGAACATGGTAAGACCAGTGAATTTCAGAAGCGTGGTCCCATTCATGTACTTCATTCGCTGTGAGTTGAGTTCCTTGATCAGAAGCAGTGCTGTGTGGAATGTAAGCGTCTATCCCAGTTAGAATGAAACACTGCCCCTTCCACACTGTAGTCAGCCTGCCACCAGGTGGCTGGCTGATCACCCAGGGGATTGATGCCATATGAGGCAATCAGTGTTGGTTTCTGCTACTGGCCAATCGAGCATTCAGCGGTGGCCACAGCCAGGGCAGCCTTGGTGAGTAGAAGTCCATGTGTAACCTCCATCCCTGCCACCATGGCCACTTTATTCATGAGCCCACTGGGTGATGATGGTGTTGACTGGAGAAAGAGGCTGACTGGTATCCGCAGAACAGACCAAATAGGCGAGCTGAATGGGGATTGGTGGGAATCTTCACTCCTACATCTTTCAAGTCCTTGATGCCGGCAGTTAATCTCAGCAGTCCCCCAGGAATACAGTATTGCTTTGGGTTTTCTGTTTTTCTAGGTAGAGACAGTTCTAATGGCATCCACCGGGCCTTTCCAACCATAATTGTCCTCACTCCACAGGTCAGAGAACCAATGGGGATTCTGCCAGCTTCTAAGTATGTCTGTTCCAATTATGTGTTCTGGAACTGCAGAAATAACCATAGGATGGGTTCAGGGACCCCCTGAATCCACCGTGAGATGGACGTGAGCTAAAACTCCATTGATCACCTGACCTCCACAAGCTCCTACTCTGACTGGTGGGCCGCAGTAATGTTTTGAGTCTTCTGGACTTAGTGACAGTTCAGAACCAGTGTCCAGTAGTCCTCGAAAGTTCTGAATAGTTCCTTTTTCCCAGCATGCAGTTAGTCTGGTAAGAGACCGTAAGTTGCTTTGGGGAAGTCTGGGAGAAAGACTGGCAGCATAAATTGTCAGGTTTCCCACCCTCCCCTTCATTCAAGAGGTTCTGGAATGCAAACTGGCTCAGGTGTGGGAATTGTTTGGGGGCAGTTGACTGGGAGGAGGGCAAGATTGATGACAAAGGGACACAAGGAAGCTTCGGAGGGTGATGGTATGTTCATTATCTTGGTTGTGGTGATGGTTCCACAGTTGTACACAAAGATCAGAACTTATTAAGTTGTACACTTTGTATGTGGGAAGTGTGTTGTACATCAATTTTACTTCAATTGAAAAAATTTTAATGAACCATTTATAGGACAGATTAGGACGTAAATAATTTCTTGCTGTCCCAGCTATTCAACACCGAAGTTAAGTGATAGGAATATTTCTTGGTGAATTCATAGTTAAAATCATGTCTGTTGTTAAACATACTAAATATCACTTGGCTTATTTTAAATGGGCTTTTTGACAGTTTGAAAATGGGCAGTTTGAAAATGTTTCAGAATTACAGAAAACCTTGGCTACAGTCTTGAGAATTTGGGTCCCCTTGCAAGGTCAGCCTGTCATGGTGAGACGGGGCCAAAGGACGGCCTTAACCTGGCAGTGTTAAAAAGTGGCTCCTCTGGCTAATTCCCCTCTTTTTGATTCCAGGACACAAGCAATCTTCTTTGTAATTTTTCTTTCCACCACAGGTCTGCCTGTAGAGGGAGAGTGTATTGCTGTTTGTGATGGCAGGAACATTCTGAACCAAGTGCTGTTCAAATTTAAATTGCTTTTACTACCTTTAGCTCAATCAGTTGACATTCCTGTTTTAGAAAGAGAAAGAGAGCCTGAGTCAGAGTCCTAAAATCTTAGAACTAGAGCACATTTTTCAAGAATTCGAATAGGGGTTTTTTTTCCTTTGATTAATTATCCACTTTGTCATGTTGTTAATGTTTTGTTTAAAACTTGATGTTAATTTATGATTCCATGGTTTTTTGTGGCACTTATTTTTTTGTTCCTGAAATTTATAAACAGTGTAATAACTGAATTATCTTACATTACCTTTTCCTTTCAAGATAATCATTCTGATTGTCTTTCCTGGTGTAAAATCTTTCACAGTCTGTTCTTTTTAAAAAATATGCCATTAAGATACATATATCATTATTCTATCCCCAATATCTTAATTACCCAGGGCTTTTTCTTATCGTTGAATTCTTCCATTCCTTAATTATTGTGATCTTCCCTGAACTCTGCATATTTTTTATAGTTTTTACTTGAGATACTTCAAAATGATGTATTTTCCAAGTTATCTACTTACCTATTGTTGTCTACAAGTAGCCTAAAATCAGAACAAGATTGTTTTTCTGGTACTTCAAATTTCAAAATAAAAGAATGTAGAATGAGACTGAAACTTTCTCAGTGATGTAAGAATCCCTTCATCAGTGTCCCTGATAGTCATCTCCTTCCCTTCTGAGTGCCATCCATGAATGGGGAGCACGAGCGTGTAAGGTATTTTCAAAGAATCCCCTTCAGTGGAACAACTTTAGTTCTATAGAAATTTTTCCTGTTTAAAATAAGGTGAGCCGGGCCGGTGTGGCTCAGTGGTCGAGCATCAACCCAGGAACCAGGAGGTCACAGTTTGATTCCCGCTCAGGGCACATGCCTGGGTTGCAGCTCGATCCCCAGTCGGGGCCGTGCAGGAGGCTGCCGATGGATGATTCTCTCCCATCGTTGATGTTTCTATCTCTCTCCTTCTCCCTTCCTCTCTCTGAAATCAATAAAAACATATAGTTTTTTAAAAAGCTGAAATTACCTTTCTCTAACCTCTGCTTGTCAATCCTGGATCCATCCTTTAGGTATTTGAAGTAGTTTTATCTAGGGTAACTCTTTCTAGTTCTCTTACTGTTTATGTGAAATCATTTCCCGACTCCTCATATCTTGGTACCCATTTTGGACAAATACTAAATTGCCAACATTATAGATTCGAATGATTGCTCTTTAGCTTTCTGTGAGTCTGTTTTTTATCTTTATTTCATGTTTGTAGTGTGTGCTTTTCTTACCAATGTGTCTCCAGCTTTTATTACCTTTCTGTGTGGAACTTCTGGTAGGGTGTGTGTGACTGCTGCACTGGAGGTGTCCACCCACCCAGCCACTGTATCTGCTTTGGTTTCCTGCCTGCCCCTCCGAGCAGGAGCCCTGCACTTGGCTGGGTTTTGTAAACCATGATAATTGAATATATCGTCACCTAGGAACCAGGACACAGGTTCTGTTCAAGGCTCTTCCATCATCTCTGACAGGGTTGTTTGTCTCACTTTCTCTGCCTTTGAAATATAGAAAATGTTTGTGAAGAGATGTTTATTTAGGTTCTTCATTTTCCATCAATGAAGTAGGTTTTCTTAATATGTTCATTGTACTATTATAAACATAACATTACTAAGTTCAGGTCCAAGTGGTATCAAAATAATGATACTAAACCACGCTCTGATTGTACTATTTAGGTCAGGGGTTGGCAAACTACAGTCCTCAAGCCAAATCCATTCTGCTGCCTATTTTTTGTGTCTGGCCTGTGAGCTAAGAATGGATTTTAGTGAGTTCTCCCTCTTGGGAGCAGCCTGGTGCCTTTCCCCCCCAGGCGCATTACCTTTACCTTTCTCCAAGGGCCCTTCTTTTACCTCCAACTTTCTAAATTTCTCTTATAGTTTGAAAAAAAAGAATGGATTTTATATTCTTAAATTCTTATTGTGCAAAAGATACACAATATTTTGTGGCATGTGAAAATTATATGAAATTGCAATCTCAGTGCCCATCAACAACATTTTATCAGAACACAGCCATGCTCATTCATTTGCTGTCATCTCTGGCTGCTTTCCTGGTACTGCTGCAGAGTTGAATAGTTGCCACAGAGACCGTATAGCTTTCCAAAGCCTACAGTATTTATTGTCTGGCCTTGTATTAGTTACCCATTATCCATTGCTAAGAAACAAATGACCTGAAAATGCAGTGGCTTAAAACAACATACACTGATTATCTCAGAGTTTCTGTGGATCAGGAATCTGGGCACAGCTTAACTATGACCCCTCCTTCAAGGTCACTTGGGCTGCAATCACAGTGTTGGCTGAGCTGTAGTTATCTCAGGGCTCAGCTGGGAAAGGATCTGCTCCAAACTCATGTGGCTGTTGGCAGGGTTGTTGGACTGAAGCCTCAGTTCCTCTCTGGCTATTGGCCAAAGACCACCTTCAGTTCCTTGCCACGTGGGCCTGTCCAGCATGGCAGCAAGCTTCTTCAAAGCAGGCAAGCTTGGAAGGCAATAGAGAGAGTCTACTAGGAAGACAGAATGTTTTGTAACCTAGTCATGAAAGCAGCATCTTGTCATCTTTATTGTTAATGTGGGTAACAGGAAGGTCTGTAGGTGCATCCCACCTTCAGGGGAGGGGATTACACAAGGTCCTGAACACAAGGAGACAGTGGCCATTGGGGACCACCTTAGAAGTCAGTCTACCATGGGTCCTTTACAAAAGTTTAGGTAATTAATTTCTTTTTCCCTCCAAGATGTGTTATCTCTTTAGGTAATTATTTTAATACATTGATTTTGTGTTCTGTAGTATAGTATTCTAAAACAAAATCAAGCAGTAATTTGTTGAAATTTTGTATTTTATATTTATTGCTCAGTAACACCTTGAATTAGCTCATTTGTCATTAAAAAGTTTTCTGTTTATAGATGTGTTGCTTTCAGAGTTATGTATAGAATAATTGTAAGTATCATTATTTCTTACCCTGTTGTTTTCTTAATCTTCATTCGAGGATATTTTTTCCATTGCTTTTCAAAGAGAGTGGCAGGGAGGAAGAGAGAGAGAAAAAAAAAAAAAACACATCGGTGTGAGAAAGACACATCGATTGGTTGCCTCCCACACACGCCCCTACCGGGGCTGGGGATTGAGCCTGCAACCGAGGTATGTGCCCTTGGCCGGAATCGAACCCGGGACCATGCTTGTTCTTCATGTTCCCTCATCAGCACTGTGTTCTACAGGAATTCCTTCAGATTTCTACTCAGTTTCTTCCCGATCTGATCCCTGCCTCGTCTAAATCTAGAACTTTAGTTCCCTGCATGGGGCACCTGCCCCACATCCCGGTTGCACACGGATGCTGCGGACTGTGTGTCCCTGGTAGACACAGATCTCCTTCTGCTCCCCCTCCAGTTCTGGCATCTCGGTGGGTCCATCCCTGTTTTCGGGTGCTCATTGCTCTCTCAGCGCCCCTTCTTTTGTGGCTGATCCCCTGTGGCCAATATGACCACCCATTCCTTTCCCCAGTGCCTGGCAGGGAGTCGACTTCCAGCCCACATCGGGTGCCTCAGGCTGAGCGAGCGATAGACAGCGTGGAGTCAGAGCCCAGGGGATGCCAGCCAAGTGCTGCGTCTGCCCTGCTTCAGAAAAGTGAATGTCAGCAGCCAGGTGTCTGTATCTGATCCTTACACAACATTCTTGCCTGCAGAGGTACCTTCAGGGTGGGGAAATGGAAAAGCCTGTGCTTGTTTTCCCCGGAGAGGCAGGGCTCCCAGTTTGTCAGACATGCCAGCGCCTGATCTGAGGAGAGGCCTGACTCTAAGGCCGAGCACCTGCCGAGCATCCTGCCGAGCAGCAAGCCACAGGGGACCGTGAAGAGTAAAGAGTCGGAAGGAGAAGCGGGCGCTGCTCATTTTTTACTTCCTACTGTCATTTCCTTATGTTCTCAGGATGGAGTGCTAGAAATCAAATTAGCTTTGCAATGAGTGACGCTGCTGGAGTTTTTAGTGGAAAATTACAGTTTCAATATCATTTCACAGGTTCTCAATGACTACTTGCTCCAGTCTCTGGTCATACTTACCTCAAGGTCGCACGGCCAGTAAGCAGCAGAGCGTATTGAACTCTGAGAGTGAACTCAGTCTGGCTCCAAAGCCCGTGTTCTTAGCATACTATACTGTCTTATCAGTTTATTGTCTGTTTTGTTCCATAACAATTATTCATATTTTAATGCACAACAGGGGACCGTTTTGCAAATCCAAATAATGGAGTAACTGTTTATCTCCATGTAGACTGTGTTAAGCGTCTTAATTTCAATCAGTCCCTTTCTTTCTTTCTCATTATTTTTACTTATTGATTTCAGAGAGAGGAAAGGAGAGGGAGAGAGAGAGAGAGATAGAGAGAAACACGCATGATGAGAGAGTCGTCATTGATCAGCTGCCTCCTGCGCGCCCCTGACTGAGGGTTGAGCCCGCAGCCTGGGTGTGTGCCCTGACCAGGAATCAAACACGATCTCCTGGATCCTAGGTCTGTGCTCAACCACTGAGCCATGCCCAGCTGGGTTCTCATTAAATTATTGATCTGGCTTTTCAGGGAGGCAGAAGTACGTTAGGATTGGATTGATCTCTTCTGTGACCTTAGAATAAATTCAGATATTTCATCAAGGAGCTTGGTTATCTTAATTTTTGACTTTCCATAGTAAGAAGGAGACTTGACTCCATCTTGAGTGGCACTTGCCTTCCAGGGCTTGCTTGTCGGTGTCATTGTAGCAGGAAGTGAAGCAGACACTTTCATCCAGTGAAAAGCTGCTTTTCAGGGTTCAGGAGCGGAGCCGCATCTGAGTCGCTCTGACTCCCCCTCTTGGTCTCCCTTCCCGCTGCAGCCCCGTGGGCCCCTGTGTTCACTGGCACACTGGGAAAGGCAAGTGAGGAGGGTGTGGTTGGGGTTTTCTTTTGTCCTTTCAAATCTGGATACTGAACTCCCTTCCCTGAATTTATTAGGAGTTGTTTCCATTGTGAAATCTTTTATCACAGAGTTTAGGCCCCGCTAAGCCTTCCTTTTCCTTTTTTCCCAATTAAATAGTTGGGATGGTGGCTTCTTGTTAGGATTGATTTATATTGAAAAATGATCCAGTACTTTTTGTTTCTGCTTATTTAAGTTTCAGAAGTTTGATTTCATATTTTAAATATTTTTATCTCTGCTTTTCACATTTGTTACAAAGTGCATTGTATGATTCTTGTTTTTGCTAAGAGGACCGTCCCTATAACTTCACCCTCTGATTGTTTTAACAGCAAGTTTTGTCTGCCTACAGGAGAATATTAAAAAGTGAGCCTCCGTATCCCCAAGATATGAGTGCTTTAGCTAAAGACCTAATTCAGCGTCTTTTGAGGAAAGATCCCAAGAAAAGATTGGGATGTGGTCCGCGGGATGCCGATGAAATCAAAGAACATCTCTTTTTTCAGGTGAAACTTACTCAACAGATCTATGCCCTGCTGATTTCAGAGTGTTCAGCATTCTTGGAGAAATGAATGAACATGGTCGGGTGAACCAGGTCTCTTTTGAGTTGTTTTCTCCCTATTTTCATATACATTGCACTTTTTTCAAATGACAGGGACCCTTCAGAATTCTACTGTTGGAGACCTGTGCTCTCTTTCTCCCTGAATGAAGCGGGAGTGGGGAGGGTTATAACAACATTTGTTTTTTTACATATGAATAGGTTAGAGTTTCTGAGTATGTTTCCACTCATGATCTCAAGATTTAGGCATATGGATGAAGGAGACTTTTATTATATTTTTTTGCTTCTCCCTCAGTTCATGATCCACTGTGCTCTACCACTGAGCCATGCTGCCGGGCAGTGTTCCACCTTTTAGATATGATTTTTTTTCTCCTTTTCCCAGGAGAAATCTCAGAATTTAAAATCTCCCTATTTCTTAGTTACATGACTATAACACATAGAGAATTGCTCATTTATTTTCTTTGTACTTGAGACAGTGCTTTTCTTATTCTGAGGAAGCCTAGATAACTGGAAAAGAAGTTGACTTGACTGAGTTAGTTCTTTCAGTTATTTCAGTCTAAATGGTCAACCTGGGATACCATGACCTTGATTTCTAAAACCCTGAGCTTCTGACTTTTAAATAATGTCATCATATCAACAAGCATGACCTAAATATTTCTAGTCTAAAGGGACTGTCCAAGTTTTATTTTTAATCTCCCAACTGAGCTTTTACATTATTAGCACCAAAACAAATGAGAATAGTTACCAAGGTGAAGAAAAAACTGCTGTAGAGTAAGCTTTTATGTTTTCATTTATTGGTTTTTTTAAATATAGAAGAACAAATAGTGATTGAGAGTAAGAATTATCTCTGTACTTCTGTGCTCAAAAAAGCACGTTTGTTTCAGTCTTTCAATACAACCATTTTTTAACATATTACTGTACATACAGTAACATGGAGGGAAATACATTTAGAATAAAAGTAATTTCTCAGTATGTACATTTCATAGATTCATGTGGCACGAAAAGGTGAATGTTTGAATAAATGATTTCAACTATCTTGTTCAGAAGCTTGACTCAAAAATTAATAAGATAAAATTCAAGAAAGCATTTAAGTAAAATACCCCTAATCATATTTTCCTAGAATTTTTTCTCTGTGGTTCCCTGTATTTGTGAATATTATAGTATATCTTTCATATTAGAGAAATGTCTTTTCTCTACAGCTTGGAATAATAATTTTAGGTTATTGAATTGCCTTGGCTTCTCAAATGACAAGGACACTTTAGGAAAAACTAGCTTTCTGTTTGTAAAGACCTAAATGGAGTGGAGAGGGAGAGGACTGTAATAGCATTCAGTTTTTTATACTAAACGTTCTCCTGCTAACAACTTATTTCTATAAGTTACCTCCTTATTCTAGAAGTTCTTCCTAATGTATGTACAATAGCCGAGCACAAATCATGAAATGGAAATCATTACAGCCATGCAGAGGAAAGAGCACTAACTAGAAAGTCAAGAGACTGGGTACAAATCCTAACCCTTCCACTAGCTAATGTTTAAGTGAAATGGTTAGTTCTTACTCCCAGGCTCAACTCCCATCTGTGTCGCACAAAGGCGATCAATTCTAGCTGAAAAACTTGAAGATCTGTAACTTAATGATTTTATCTCCGTTGCCTCCACAAGAGGGCATAATAAAAACATTTTATGTTGTTTGATTAAACTTACTAAATGCCATCAGCGTAGAAATGCGATTTTCACATTTTCCCACCTCTGAAATAAGTATGCGTCTTACAATGGACCGCATCTTACTATTCTAATTGGTAATGCTTTTTCTTTCTTAATGGTGCATAAAATAATATCGTATTATCACTGATGACATCTTAGACTTGAAGAAACATATGAGTAGGTTATCGGTAGGGCTCAGTTAGCAAGTGTTATCTGAAGTTGTTTTAAGTGACAGAGGAGCTTAAAAAGCCGCAGAGGGTTGAATTTGAATAATGTAAAGCAGCCATTTATCAGACAGTGAGTGCCTGATATGGATGGAAAGGGAGCTTGGATTATCCCCGGGGAAGAGAAGAGGCTGTGTTTAAACTGCTTGAATACATATGAATGAGAAAAGAGCGATTGACCAGCATGATAGTATCATTTAAACTTGCAGCTGTAAATAAATGCATGACTGACAGCGAGTTTATTTTCTAACACGTCCAGATGACCAGGAGGAAAGCTAAGTAACACTGCCTCTGGAGAGCAGGGATGTGCCTTTAGGCTTAGTAGTCATATGCACAGAGCATTTTAAAGCCCTTTATGACAGTGTCTTTTGTTTTTGTTTGGTTTGGTTTTGCTTTGGTTTAACACCTTTCTCCGGAGGCTCAGAACAAAAGTAATTTTCCTGTTTTCCCGAGGGTAAACTAGGGTGTCCTGGTGCCCCCTAGAGGACACGACGAGACCCCGCGTCAGGCCCAGCCGGGCGCCGCAGTCAAAAAGCGTGCTCGTGCTTATTAAAATACATGTGTTTAATCAAGAGTTTGAAATATATGCCTCTTAGGAAATATAGCTCAACTTTGCTGCTTTCAACTTTGCACTAACTTACTTCCTCTGTCTTAGAAAATAAATTGGGAGGATTTAGCTGCCAAAAAAGTGCCCGCCCCGTTCAAGCCGGTGATCCGCGACGAGCTGGACGTGAGCAACTTCGCGGAGGAGTTCACGGAGCTGGACCCCACCTACTCGCCCGCCGCGCTGCCCCGCAGCTCCGACCGCCTG